TCCCTCCTTCCCTCTCTTCCTCCCCTCCTCCCTCCCACTTGCCAAGCTGGTGCCTGTGTCTGTGTATTCCTCTGCCATCTCACACCTGCCAAATAGTACCTTCCTTCCCGCCTTCACTCCTCTCTTTCCTGGCACTAGGATAATAGTGAGTTGGGTGGGGCAGTCCTGCTCAGTCCATACCTGAGAATAGAACAGGGGGGATCTGGGAAAGGAAAAAGAGGTCCCAGCCCTGAGGGGCATCTACCCTCATTGTGGGGGCTTGGGTTGCTACTCCAGCTTCCACCATAGCCAGACTCCCAGGGGATGTTGGTGCTTGTGGCTGCCCATGGGAGCCCACGCTGGCATGGGCGGCTGTGTCTGCACACAGATGCCTGTGTTTGCCTGTGCATGCCTGTGTGTATGTTTGGGCTTCAGTAGCCACCTGGGCCCCTGAGCATCACCCTTCTTGACTCCCATGGTATAGGGTCAGGGCATCAATGCCAGATCATTAGGAGACGGGGGTGGGGTGGGGGAGGATAGTATCTCCCCCAACCCTAGCAGCAGGCAAAGGGGAAGGGGAGAGGGAGGTGTGAACCTACCCACAGCACTATTAATAGCCCACATGCCAGGCCACCAAGAACCAGCTGTCACCGTGGAAACCATTTCTACTCCCCCTCCCCCAGCCTCCGTGGGGTGGGACTTAGGCAGGGCCTGAATCAACCCCCCCCACCCATCTTTCTTTGTTACCTTTCTGTCTTTGTCTCCCCCTCCATTTGTCTCTCCTCCCCGTATCTGTCCTCTCTACCTCACCCCTCTCCCCCCCATCCCTTTCTCCCCCACCCTAAGCCCATCTCATTGCCGCCTTTCTTCCTTTCCCTATACTTCATAAGCACACCCCCCGCCCAGCTCTTTGTTCTTACCCCTCCTCATCTTTCTTCCCCTCTCCCCCCATCCTCTCTTCTACCCCTGTCTTCCTCCTCTTTCTCCCCTTTTCGGGGCCCCATCTCTATGAGTGTGTCTTTCCCTCTGTGGTTGGCAAGGAGGAGGGCTGGGCTTCCTTTAGAGCATTAAGGACAAAGTTTAGGGGCTCCAGACAGGTGGGGCCAAAGCCAAGAACAGACACCCAGGAGAGTATTGAGTATAGAATTAGGGGCTAGATTGTGGGGGCAGACTCCCCTCTGGCAGCCCCAGGAGTCCTTTGGGAAAATCTCTTGGGTCCTCAGGATTGTGGAGTGGGACAGTCTGGCAGTGGGAACCTGGCATGGTGCCTGTGGATGCCGCATTGGGCGCTTGTCTTTGTCCCCCCATTGCAGAAGCACTTAAGCTTAATGAAATGCTTCCCCCTCCACGGGCACCTTGCCCACACTGCTACCCCGCAGCTCTTATCTGACAAACAGGGAGTGGGTGGCCAGGCCAGCTGACAGGTGGGTCTTGCTGTCCGACTGTCCAGCCTAGTCTCAGAACCAAATAGCTCCACCCCCTCTGCCTCCTTGGGGCTGAGCCTCACCTCTGCAGGGCATGTGCAAGGAAGGAGCTGGGGGAATTAAGCAGGACTCAGGAAGAGGGGAGAGAGGCTGCCCTTCAGGGTGGGTATCCCTGCCTCACCCACCTTTCCCCCCTGACCTTTCTCTGCCCACAGCTAACACAGGCTCATGTGGTATGTGCTTCCCTGAATGCTGGGCCCTCTGCTTGCTCTGTGCCCCAGGTGTGTCCCTTGAGGGATGACAAAGAATCCCCAGGGCTTCTAGATTCTTGCTAGGTGCCAGGTGAAAGTGCCCTAAGCAGTGAGGACAGTGCCTTTCTCCTCTGCCCACCGCCAGGGGCTCAGTGTAGCCTGGGTTGCACTGATAGGCACTAGGGAACCGTTCAGCTCAGCACAGAGATGGGGCAAAGGGGGATCCTTCCCCTCCCACAGTGAGCACGTGCAAGCCCTTGGCAGTGCCCAGACACATTTGGAGTTAAGACTGGGCAGGGGAGGGGGATGGGAAAATAAACATGGTCGCTTAGGTTGGCTCTGCCCCAGGTGTGCCCTGTAGCAACTGGCATAGGCAGGGGTGAGGGAGGAGGGGGTCCTCCAGAGCTATGGCCTGGGGCATGTGGCTGCTGCTGGTGTTCTCTGCCTGGCCTGGCCCACAGCTGCTAACACCCATTTGCACACACCCTAGCCTCTTCGTCTGCCCCCAGGGCCTGCTCCCCAGGGCTGCCCCTCTCTCAGCATGCCCACTCCTGTGCCTGCCTCCTCCCCTCCCCAGGGGCACTTGGGCCTCCTGCTGGCGAGTGGATTTTTCCAGCCTCTGTAAACAAGTGGTGGCAGCATGCCAGGTGGGCAGGAGACAGGCGGGGGCAGCACCGCAGCCAGGGTGTGCCAAGCACCGAGGCACAGCCTGGGGGGGAGATGGGGAGACACCCAGAGAGAGAGAGACATTCAGATGCAGGCAGACAGACCCAAGGAAGCCTTGTTGGAAACGGGCGACAGAAAATAGCCCTCTATTGTCCAGCCTAACCCCACAACTGCCCTGGCCCCCTACTCCTCACTGCTCTGGCTGAGAGCAGCAGGCCCCAGTGCCCAGTCTCTGGGCATCCCCACCCACTCCTACTTCTCCCCCCACCTCCACCCCTTAGGGCTGGCTACGCCATTATAAATTTATAACAGGAATTTCTCCACAAGCCAAGAAAAACTTGACCTACTTTCTTGACGGCTCTCTGGGCTAAGGCTCCCCGCTCTCAACCCCCCCAGTCTCCTGTCCAGCCCCCAGTGCCCAGTCCTGGTCTGTGGGGGTATCAGAGGCAGAATGAGCCACCCTTCTGTCCTCCTGCCACACTCCCTACACTGAGGGCTCACCTGAGTGCAGAGGCCCTGTCCCACTGTCCTGCCCTGCCCAATGGCCTGACTTATCTCACATTCCCCTCCTACTCTGGCTCCTTATCAGTTCCTGGGGGTGAGGCGGAGGGCCCAGGGGCGAGGTCTCTGGTGCCGCAGCTACTTGATGAAGGTTGTGTGTTGGGAGCTGCACCCTTTGGCCCCCTTGAGCATGCCCACACCTGCCTGTGTGTGCAGATAGTAAGCCTCAGGTCTGGAGCCTGTGGTCAGAGGTGCAGTGTGGAGGGAATGGTGGGCCCAGGTTGGTGCTGTCCTGGACCCCAGATATTGAAACAAGGCTAGCATTCAAGCCAGGCTTCAAGGTTTTAATCCCTGAGCCACCTGCTCACTAGCTTTGTGAACTTGAGTGAATTACCAAGCTTTCTGAGGCTCAGTTTTCTCATCTGTGAAGTTCTGCTGCCCACTTTGGAGGACGCATATTATCTATTTAGTTAGCACACGCTTGTTTCCTTCCCCCTTCCCGTGGTTGGTGACAACTCAGCTAAACCAGTTGGAATGTCTGGTCCTCAGACTGAGAAGTGTGATTTGGGGCCTTCTGTGGACAGCTGTGGAGTCCTTGGGAGGCCAGGGTTGAAGAGTCATAACTTGGCCAGCAGTGGGGGAGGTCAGCTCCCCACGGTTTTCAGTATCTCTCTCCATTAAGGCACTCAGGTGGGCATTCATGATCCCTGCCCCCATGCCTATACCCTTCCCTTCCTTCACAAGTACCCCCCATGCCTGGGCTGAAAATTGCTCATCTTTGGTCCCCTCTTGCCCGATAGTATGGTGAGTTTTATAAAAACTTGGCTAGATGGGTGGTGACAATAGCTAGTGTTTAATAGACACTTGTTAGAGGGCCAGGTACTTGATTGAATGTGAGGACTGAGACATGGCACATGGATGATCTCATTCTTTCCCTCCATCCCTTTCAGTGTCTGGGGCTTAGGATATGGATCTCCAGATTTGCCTGCTAAAACCTGTTGATCTGAGGGGTTATCCTGGTTCTCTCCCTGTGCCTGCCCTCCATGCCCACCACCATCTTGTTATGAGCCCCAAGAGCCCAAAATGTTGCCACCAAAGGACTCCTATACACCATGGTGCCACCTTATCCCTTCCTCTCTCCTCTCTTTGCAGGGACCTCTGGACAGGACAAGACTCCGAAGCTACTCCCCCAGCCCAGGACTCTTCCACAGACCCAGCTTTCCCCCCAACACTACCACCTGCCACTCCCTGGCCCATCTCACCGCCCACCCCCATTGGGGTGCAGGGCATGGTGTGAAAGGCCACGTGCTGAGGCGGGCACCATGGGTGCTGTGCCCTAGGCCTGGGTGGCGGGGGGTGGGTGGTCTGTGGGCGTGCCGGGGGGGCCAGTGTGCCCACCCGAGTCTCTTGGCGTGCTGGAAGGCATCCTGGATGGAATTGAAGTGAATGGAACAGAAGCCAAGCAAGGTGGAGTGTGGGTCAGACCCAGAGGAGAACAGGTAATGGGTCTGGCAACTAGATTGTGCCAACTCCTAGGTGGCAGGCATGGTCACCTGGCTGGGCAAAACAGAGCTGAGCTTGGGCCTTTGGGGGAATGGACTCAAGGCCAGCAAGCCTGCTGCCTACCTTTGCCCAGGAGATGAGGTCATGTTCACATGTGACAGGGAATTAGGCACCTGGAGGAGAGATGCCCATTTTGGAGTGGGGAAGTGATACAGAGCAGAGAAATTACACGAAACAGGCATGTGTCCCCTCCCTTGACAGTACTGGGTAGGCTCAAATGCTCCCAGTGTCCTCTCAGCCGTCTTCACCTGAGCATGTGGAATGCAAACAGTCTTGCCGTTTACCTCCTCTCCCTGCCAGCCTGTTCACATCTCCGCCAGTGTGTAGTCCACAGCCATAGTGCATGTGACATTACAGTTCAGGGCACATGCACCAGTAACTGTTGGTCATAGCCCACGCTTATATTTGGAAACTTTTGGGAGCCCCACAAGCTCTTCCTTGTTCATGGGCAAGGGCGGGCACTGCCATGGGGCTCCTCCCAGGAAGTGGAAGTGAATGCCAAATGTGAAGGTTTTGCTCACACGTGGAGGAGGCATCAGCCCCACACACACTGCTGGGAATGGGCTACCTGTGATCTACATTACCCTTGAGGAGCCCAAAGGGTCTCTACCTCTCCCATTAACTCCAAGTGGCACAGAACTTTGTGCCAGTTGGCATGGTGCCCCTGGAGCTGGGTACAGCCTGTGTCTAGGGCCAGGGAGAGGGTGGGGGATGGGTTGTTCTGGGGAGCACAGTGGCTGTTGCCTAGGAGACCGGATCCTGAGCCAGGAGGCCAGAGGCCTGGCCAGGCAAAGCCCTGGGGCCCAAGACTGGGTCTCCGGAGGGGTGGGGGAAGCCAGTGGGGCTGTCAGTTGGGTAGGGCATCTGGAGTTTCCCCTCCCCAAAGCCTCACCCCAGGGGGGGCTCTGAAAAAGATCTGGCATATCACTGCATAGCTTTCACTGGCAACCTTCGTACCTCCCTGCCCAGACTTCGTGAATCTGGAAGAGTCTGCTCCTAACCTGAGTAAGGCTGGAATCCTGGTTCCCGGTCCCCCAGAGCTGTATCACCCCCCACCCCGTCACCCTCCCCTCCCCAAGTCCTTGCGCCACCTTGTGGCTGTCCCTGGGACTGCACCCAGAGTCTGTAAAGCTAATAATTGCTGAAGACTGGCAGCTCAACTGGGGCCTTGGTGGCTCAGAGTTCCCCCACACCCTTCCCTTATGGAGGGGGGAGGGAGATCTGACCTTACCAACATTGTAGAACTCAGACAGGGTTAGCTCCCAGGGAGAGTGGAGCACAGAGCTGTCTTTGACTATGACCCTGGCCAAGGTCAGTGTGTCAGTATGTTGGGAACTGCATCAGGGGAGGGCCCTGCAACATGCCACACACAGGGTGGGTGTGGGAGGTTATACAATCTGTGCATGCATGTGGAAGGCTTATGCAACCTGTGTGTGCTGAGGTTATGTAACATGTGTGTGGAGAGGCTGGTGACATATATGTGCAGTGGCTGTGGCTTGCTAATACCTTGCATGAAGGGGCTCGGGTTCCTTGTCCTGGCTGATTTCAGTGCACAGTGTCACCAAGCACGAATGGGGTCTCTGCTGCTCTGTTAAATGGATAACATGGACAGGGTGACTCTGGAATTCCTTTCCTCTTCTCATATTCTTGGTTCTGTGTTCTAGTTGCTAGGCACTATATGTTTTCAGTCACTGTGGTTATTTAGCATGTGTGTGTGACCTGGAAATCATGTTTACTGGGGGGAAGGAGGGTGGTATTATTAGGTGTCTGTCCAGAGGGTTGTGTAACATATGGGCATATCCTAGAGGTCATATAACACATTTGAGAATACTCTGAAAGTTGCATAGATATGTAAATTCTGGTGCTTATTTACCATGCTTGGGTGTATCCTGAAGGCTGCATAGTTATTCACATTTAGTGGTCTTACGTTGCACGCGTGTGTGTGTGTGTGTGTGTGTTTTAAAGATTATATAACTCGAAGCATGTCCTGAAGATTCTGCATGTGTCATATACTGAATGCTTAAATATGTGGATATCTTGTAGATTATGGGTGTTTAAGGTTCTATAATGCTTGTGTGTGTGCATGTGTGTTTGAGCCCTAGAACATGCTTGTGCCCCAGCCAAGCCCCTTATCTCTCTCCCTAAAGCTTCTAGATAGCTGGACCCTTCTTACTTTTGTCAGCTGACTTGGGGGTGGGAGGTAGAGTGAGGACATGAGACGCAGAGAGTCGGGCCTAGGGGCTTACATAAGCCTATTGGATGAGAAGGGGCTGCCCAAAGACTGCTCTGTGATTCTGCCCACTTTGCCTCCCTCCAGTGCCAGGTCACCAGATGGAAAGCGAAAAAGAAAGAACGGCCAATGTTCCCTGAAAACCAGCATGTCAGGTGAGCCTGGCTGCGTGCGCCCTTCCTCCCTGCCCTGAATCCCACCAAACCAGACCAGGGCTCTTCTGGAGCCTGGGCATGTACCAGCAGCTCCTGTGTTCCATGGGGCGAGCCTCCTGGAGGGCTTGGGATGGACTTGTGTGGAGGTGAGATGGGTGATGTGGGCATGCTCTAGTTTTGAAGATGGATTAGGTCAGAAAGGGCTTCTTCCCTTCTCCCATAACCCCCTTGCCTGACACCCCCACCCCACCCCAGAATCAGGGCCTGGGCTGAAGGGCTGAGGGGTTCTATTCCCCTGAGATGAGTGCTGACATTTGCTTCTCCTCCTGCATCCCCTGCCCCTTGGGGGCAGCAAGAGAAAAACCCTGAATGGGCAAGCAGAAGAACTCTGGGATTCGCCATATTAGGGAAGGGGGATGGACAAATAACCTCTGATGTGTCTCTAGGATTCTACCCTTCAGGGAGGCTGGGCTAGGGGATGGGCCAGGAAGGAAAAGTTGGGGGATGCAGAAAGTGTTAGAGCCTCTCTGCTAGGGACCCAAGCCATGCCTGCCTGCCTGCCTCCCTTCCTCCCTCCCAGGGTATATCCCTAGTTACCTGGACAAAGACGAGCAGTGTGTCGTGTGTGGGGACAAGGCAACCGGTTATCACTACCGCTGCATCACTTGTGAGGGCTGCAAGGTATGGACCAGCCAGCTCCTGCCCCTCCCCCACCACCTGAGCCCCCATCTCACTCCTTGTAAGGCCCTCAGCACCCAGCACAACAAATGGCTCTATAAACATGTAACCTAAAGCCCACCTGTCACATCATCTTTTCTCTTATTCATTCATTCATTTGTTCATTCATAACCCCTGCTCTGCCTCTCATAGATAAGATGCCTAATATATCTGAGCCTCGGTTTCTTCACTATAAAATGGGGTTAATCGTCCTCCCTAATTCATAGAGTTGTTGGGAGAATTAAATGAGATCATTCACATAGAGTATTTAAAACAGTGACAGACACAAAAGAAGCACTTAGTAAATGTCAACCATCATTCATCCACTCGGTGTATTAGGTGTGAGGAGTATAGTATATGCTCTGTCCTCAAGCTGCTCACAGCCTACCAGAGAGAGACAGACATCAGTTGAAACCAACATCAGTGTTTTTCAAAATGTGGTCTGTGGGCCACCTGCAATACTAGTTAAATGCAGATCCCCAGGCCTCATCCCAACCCTACCCAAGCAGAACCTTTTATGGTGGAGCCCAGGAATCTGCCTTGAAACAAGTCCCCCAGTTGCTTCCATTGCACCTGAAAGAGTGAGAACCAGTGCTGGGAGTATGGTGAGGTCCAGAGGAAAAGAGGATGGCAGGGTCACCCTGAGCAAAGGGGACAAGGTCATAAACTTGGGGAGGCTTAATTAGATTTCACTTTGGACATTTCAACCTGCATGGTTTTTCTGGGATCATCACCTCCTGAAAATGTAAACCTTCCAAGAAACAGAAATATTTAAAAATATATTAAGGCTTCGAGTTCTTTTCTTTCTTGGTGCCAACCAAACCAAGACCACCAGGGACTTAAAGTCCCATAGCAGTGTCTTGGAAGCAATACAAGCAGTGTGACCTAGACCAAGGATCCTCACCCCTAAGGACACCTGAGTTCCAGAAGAGTACCTCAAAAGGACAGATGCCTGACTGCACCCTTAGGGAGTCTGATGTTGTAGGCCTAGAGTGAGGCCCAGGAATCTGTATTTTTGGTAAGCACCCTACATGACTTTAATGCACTCCAGAATCTGAGAGCTCAGACCTTGGGTGTCCCATACCTCAGACCAGTTCTGGCTCTGATGCCCATTTAGCCATTTGGGCAATTTAAGCAAATTAAGCGACTTTGGACAAATTGCTAAATCTCTTCAAGCTTCCGTTTTCTAGTCAGCAAAATGGAGATGGGGCAGCTCCTACTCTGTGGGGTTGGCATGAGTGTTAAATGTGATGCCTCAAAGAAAAGGCTTATTAAGTAGTGAGCATTCAGTGTGATATATAAAACTGAAAATCTTGTTTTAAAGCTACTAGAATTCATATACATGCCTTATTTTGACACCCCCTCGCCCTGTTTCATGAATTCCACCTGCATGGGCAACAGGCAGCATGTATGAGAATAGTTTTGGGGTCAGTGTTTTTAGCAAGGTGGAAATCAGGTATCCACTGGACTGCTGATGCTGCTATTACTCAGACCCAGATCTCTGTACTTCAGTCATCATCCCTACCTCTGCCTCCCTCCCTACCCATGTACCCCCACCCTTAAGCTGCCAGGGGATCTGAGGGCATATGTTGTTCCTAAGGTCCTTCTAAGTCCTTGCAGAGCCCAGTGATCCTGGGCCTGCTGTGTCAGGAGTATGCCAGGTTCCCTCGCTAATCCCCCACCTCCCAGCAAACTGCATGGTTAGTTCAGGAAGGGAAGGTGACCATCACAACATGCTCCATCTCCCTCCCACCCCAGGGCTTCTTTCGCCGCACAATCCAGAAGAACCTTCATCCCACCTACTCCTGCAAATATGACAGCTGCTGCGTCATTGATAAGATCACCCGCAACCAGTGCCAGCTGTGCCGCTTTAAGAAGTGCATCGCCGTGGGCATGGCCATGGACTGTAAGGGGATGGGTGGGGGGAGTCAGGCCTGGTGGCTGGGGGTGGGGTGAATTCAGATATGGTAGCTCCTTTCCAGGGTACCCTTAGGGCCCAGAGGGCAGAGTCACAATGCAGGTCAGGCTGATGGAGGAATGAATGTTGAGAATATTTTTTAAAAATATACCTTTATTGAGGTCAGAGAGAGGAAGGGAGAGGGAGAGAGAGATAGAAACATCAATGATGAGAGAGAGTCATTCATTGGCTGCCTCCTCCACACCCCCAATTGGGGATCGAGCCCACAACCCGGGCATGTGCCCTGACCGGGAATCAAACCATGATCTCCTGGATCCTAGGTCGATGCTCAGCTGCTGAGCCACACCTGGCCGGGCTGAATGTTCAGAATCTTGGTCCCTGGTGCCCTTATCCCTGGGGAACAGGAAACAGAGCATTCCTCTCTGGGTCCTGCGCATGAGCCCCAGTGCTTACCTGCCTTTCACCACTCCAGGCCTTAGAGGGAGTTGTTGGGTAGAAAGAAGTCCTGAGCACTCCACCCTAGCACAGTGTTCCTGACTGCCAGAGAGGACACGCTACTTCTGGGTGAGAGAGGATATCTTTCATTGCCTAGGGATTGGGTGGCAGGGTCTTCTGGCAACTGCTGTCACCATAACCCTTTAGACCAGAACCTGCTATGCCTCTGGATCAACCCCAATTGGAGTTGATGTCCCAGTGATCATCATGATCCAGGTTGTGCCACCCAGCTGCTAGGTGATTTGGAAGTCTGCTCAACCTCTCTGGCCTCAGTTTCCCTAACTTGTACACTGGGAAGAGTACTTTCTGAGAGAGTTGTAGAGAGTGCCATGCAATGGGCACATGTCTTCCTGTTGTTGACAGTGGTTCTAGATGACTCGAAGCGAGTGGCCAAGCGCAAGCTGATTGAGCAGAACCGGGAGCGGCGGCGGAAGGAAGAGATGATCCGATCACTGCAGCAGCGACCAGAGCCCACTCCCGAGGAGTGGGATCTGATCCATGTTGCCACGGAGGCCCATCGGAGCACAAATGCCCAGGGCAGCCATTGGAAGCAGAGGCGGAAGTTCCTGGTAAGCAGAGGGAGATGGGGGTGAGTGGCAGCCAGGTGCCAGGGAGAGGAGAGCTAGCTCAGTGTCTTGCCTCCTCCAGGAAGCCCTCTTAGTTTATTCTAACACAAAGCTGATACTCCCTACACCTTGGTGGTTTTGATTTGTACACCTGTATATGTGTGACTGTTGCCTGGGTCCTGCCTATTCCACCCAATTAGGAGCTACGTGAGGATAGGGCCTTGCCTTCCTCATTGAATTTCCAGCAGGGCTGACCTCTCCTCTTTTCTTTGCCCACAGTGACTAGGAGGAGAGGGTGAGGACACAGTCATGTAACAGTATTTGGGGGCACCTTCTGGGTGCCAGGCATTGTGTTAGGCCCTGGCAAAACTGAGTCCAAGTGAATAGTCAGCTTGAGAGATGGATAGTTGGTTGTATATGGTGGGGGGAGGCAGGAAACGGGCAGTCTGGTTCCTAGTGGAGTGTGCCAGTGGGTGGAATAGTGTGCTGTTAAGCACACAGGCTCTGATACCAAGCAGTTGTGTGTGTAATGGTCAGGAATCAGACTGCCTGGTTCTACCACTTATTAGTCATGTGACCTTGGGCTTATTAGTTAGCTGCCCTGTGCCTCAGTTTCTTCATCTGTGAAATGGAGATAATTATAACATCTTTATAGGGTTGAGGTGAGGATTAAATGAGATAATATATGTAAAACATGTGGCCTAATGCCTGGCCACATATTAAATACTCAGTAAACATAGCTTCTATTATGACATTACTTCTGTTACTGTTATGATCACTGTTATTATTAGCAGACTTGGAGCTCTGGCTCTGGTCTGTTCTCTGCTCCAAGGTGAAGGAGAAGCCTTAGGCCTGGGACATAGCAGTCCTAGGTATGGTGGCCCCTCTTCCCCAAGCTGCCTTGGAGCTCCCCCTGGTGGGCAGGGAGCCTCCGGTTGAAAGGGGTCTGCAACCCCTACTGACCCCCATCTCTCCCTCTAGCCGGATGACATTGGCCAGTCACCCATCGTCTCCATGCCGGACGGAGACAAGGTAGACCTAGAGGCCTTCAGTGAGTTTACCAAGATCATCACCCCGGCCATCACCCGTGTGGTGGACTTTGCCAAAAAACTGCCCATGTTCTCCGAGGTGAGTGGCAGATGGGAGGGGAGACATGGTGACAAACTGGAGGGAAACCTACACCTGCTCCCCAGGTCACTCAGTCCCAGCACATGCTCATGTGAGTTTCTTCTCTTGACAGGGAACGATTCCTTTAGGTCAATAAACACCCAGCGCGCGCGCACACGCACACACACGCTCACTCCGGGCTACCTGATCCCTAAGGGACCAGTAGGCTCCAAGTGCCCAGTTTCCGCAGCAACCCCCAGCCCCTCTCCCCCACAAGTCTCCATAGCCATCCCAACTCTAGGCAGCCGGGAAGTTCTCACCTTAAAGAACACTAACGGGACAGGCTGCCATTCCAGCTGTGACCTTGGCTGTGTTTCCTAAGTCCCTTGTATCTCGGTTTCCTCATCTGTAGTGGGGATGGAGATAGGATAGGACAATTGTGAGGTTTCACGGAATAGGGCATGTCTGTGGCCCAACTCAAGGTTAGCCGTTCACAGTACACGTTACTGGCTGAGGCCGGGGGTGGCCTCCAAGTTCCCAGGGGGCATCCACAGGGGCCGCTCTTGGGGCGGGGCGTGCTGAGTGTTCCTGTGGCCCTGCCGCTTCACAGCTGCCTTGCGAAGACCAGATCATCCTCCTGAAGGGGTGCTGCATGGAGATCATGTCCCTGCGGGCTGCTGTCCGCTATGACCCCGAGAGCGACACCCTGACGCTCAGCGGGGAGATGGCTGTCAAGCGGGAGCAGCTCAAGAACGGCGGCCTGGGCGTAGTCTCCGACGCCATCTTTGAATTGGGCAAGTCACTCTCTGCCTTTAACCTGGACGACACGGAAGTGGCTCTACTGCAGGCCGTGCTGCTGATGTCAACAGGTACCTGCTGGTTGGCTGGGAGGGCTGTTCTCTTCCTTCCTTAATCCTGGTCTCTCTCTGCTCCAGCTTCTCTGCCGCCCCCAAGCCCACTTCTGTGTCCCACCAGCTTACCTCTGTCATCCAGGCCACCCCTGGCCCCCGGGCCCATCCTCTGTCCCCTGGCCCCTGCCCTGTCACCCATCCTTCCTCTGTTCTGTTCCTCAGGCCCATCTCTTGCCTCCGGATGCCTCTTCCGCTCCTTTCCCATCTTTGCCCCATGTCCTCTCTCTGTCCCCTCGTCCCCTCCCTACCCTTATTCCCACCCCACCTCTCTGACCACCAGCCCTTCTGCACCCCCAGTCCTGTCCTGTCTCTGAGTCCTTTCTTCTCACCTCTCTGTCCCTCTGTCCTCTTTGCTTATCCCTTCACTCATGGTCCCTTCAGTCTCCCTCCCATGCCCTGGCGTCCTTCCTCCTACACACGCGCCCCCCACAGTGTGTTTTTCTCCACTCACTGCCCCTCTCCTCTCCCCTGTGTCTCCCTTCACCCACTCACCCTCATGCCTCTCCTTTCCCACAGACCGCTCGGGCCTGCTGTGTGTGGACAAGATCGAGAAGAGTCAGGAGGCGTACCTGCTGGCGTTCGAGCACTACGTCAACCACCGCAAACACAACATTCCGCACTTCTGGCCCAAGCTGCTGATGAAGGTGACTGACCTCCGCATGATCGGGGCCTGCCACGCCAGCCGCTTCCTCCACATGAAAGTCGAGTGCCCCACCGAACTCTTCCCCCCACTCTTCCTCGAGGTCTTTGAGGATCAGGAAGTCTAAAGCCTCAGGCGGCCAGAGGGTGTGCGGAGCTGGTGGGGAGGAGCCTGGAGAGAAGGGGCAGAGCTGGGGGCTGAGGGAGACCCCCACACCTCTTCTCTCCTTCCTCTCATCCTCGGATAGATTCAGCTCCCCCACACACCCGCACTACCCCGTCCCTCCTCCTCAGAACCTCCAGCCCTGGGACAGGGCAAACAAATGAACTTGCTATGAAAAGGACAGTGTGGGAGGCTGGGAGGGACCGTGTCCTGCAGTTCCCAGGACCCCGTCCTCTAAGAAGGTAGGGGAAGGGCGGGAGAACTAAGAGGGGACAAGCCATCTTGACTGTAGGGGACAGGAATGTGGGGTGGGGGAAGATGCCCTCAACTCACCCCCTACACACACATACACACATGAGAGAGAGTCCCCCATCTAGTTCCTTGGCCTAGATTTCCCCTCCAGGCTAAGGGCCTCTCTGCTTCCCCGGATGCCTGGGTGCAAAGAAGGGCTTGGCTTGGCTCCTCCCAGGAGGTTAAAAATTATAGTCATTCTAACTGCACTTTGGAAACCAGGCAAGGGGAGAAGATAAATGAAGAAAAACTAGACAGAGAGAAAAAGAAAAAAAGAGAGAGCGAGCGATTGATAGAGAGAGAGAGAGATAATATTAAGTTATTAACTGAGGCTGGCCAGAGGGGAGGACCCCCCTTCCACCCCCATGCACTTTGAGAGCTACCCCTCCTCCCCCCCAAATCAGAGAGAACTGCCCCCCACACAAGGTCCCTAAAGGTAGGGCTGCCGATCAGAGCTGTGAGTTAACACAACAGGGTCCTGGCCACCCACCCCTTGCCTTGCCCCTTCCTCTGTGCCCCTTTGGCACCCCCACCCAAGTACTTCCTCTGCTCTCTGCCACTCGTGCCCGCTGAGTTCCATCTACCTCTCACGCTGGATGCCAGCTGGCCCCTCACCAGCCTGCCCTGCTGCCCACACAGCTCCCCTTTCAAGTGCCCAGCCCCAGGGGCCTCTCCTTGTCCCCACCCCCCACTCCTTCTGCACCTTGGCACCCACACAGGAAAAACTGTGGCTCAAGCTCCCGCCCTCCTCACATCCTGCAGTATTAGCTCCAATCCAGATGCTCTGCACTAGGGGCGAGGAGGGTGTGCACTCGAGCTTCTCCCAGAGCCTCCACCCCCTTAGGACTCTGTTTCCCATATGTCTTCTGGGCTCTCTCTAACCTCTGCCCTCCTCCTTCCCTGCTCCCACTTCAGCGCTCTAACCCAGACTCTGGGCGGGCAGGCACCAAGGAATGGGATGCTCATATTAATAGCACTTAGTTGGGGCCCAGGGGAAGGGGGCGGTTGGTGCTCCTCTTTTTTTCTTTGAAGCTCTTTAGGCCAGCCGCCCCTCTGCCTCTAGGACCCATTTCCCCTCTTTTCTCTAATTCAGGGACTTTGGCTTGAGCCACCTCCCACCTTCCTGGTGAGGAGTGCTCTATTGGTCTGCATTTGGGTGAGCTGCCCTCCTCTTCCTCCCTTTGCCTATAGCCCACTTTGCAGGGGAGAGGGACAGAGGAGGTAGCTCTCCCATGGGTGGGGCAAGGGGAGGATGGGGAGGGACAGAGCAGACCAGAGGGCCCTGGGCTCAGGGCTGCATGTCGGCAGGGATGGATGGGTGGACATAGATGCCCCCGGAAGCCATGGGGAATGGGGCAGGGGGGCAGGGGTGCCAGGGCTTCCTGCGCTTTGCACTATGGGGGCAAAAATGTCTTAAGCAGTGGGGAACCTGCCACCCCACCCTGACCCTCAGCCTGCCACAGCCCCCTACACACACACACACATACACACACACACACACACACACACATACACACACAAGGCAATGCTATGCTGCCCATTAGGGCATGTCCTTCCCCTGCTGTTCAGGTGTTCTGACAGAGGGGAGGGCCTGGAAGAGCATCACCTGTCACCTGTGTGTGTGCCTGCCCCGCCCCCTTGGGCACGTGGATTGCACGTGCTGTCTTTGTCTCTCCGTCTTTCTCTCCTGGGGCTCTGATTCCTGTATTCCTCCTGTCCTATAGGCAAGCCCTCTTGTACCCTCTTCCTACCCCTGGGGGCCCAGTGGAATTCCTGACCTGTCTGCTGTCTCCCCCATCCCTCTAGCCCCATCTCTACCCCTCAGTCCCCATTCTCAACCATGGACATGGTGGAGAAAAGGCCTTAAAGAGGCTTGGCCTCTTACAGGCACTTGGGAATCCCCGTAGCCTTCCCAGTCATATGAGCTGTGATCCCCCACTCCTCCCCGACCCTTCCCCCCCACTCTCAGTGATGTGGGGTGTATGTGTGCATTTCTCTACATGAATGTGTGTGTGAGTACACGTGGTGGGGGAGGAGTTGAGGGGGACTCAGGAGTGCCACAAACCTGCTCTAGAGAGGTAGCTGTCCCAGTCCCTGCTTTGGAAGTGGGGGACAGGGCCCTCTCCTGGGGGCCATTGGTGCTAATGAGGGGGATGGCCTTGATGTGGGTGCTTAGCATGCCTCCCCCAGTATTGGCCCGGGGCACTAGGGCAGGCAGGGTGGGGCAGCAGGTGCAGTATTGGTGGGAGGAGGGGCTGCTGAGAATAGAATGAGGGGTCCAGGCCAGGACAAGGGGGTGCCAGAGCCATGACCACTACCCCACCCCCACCACCCGCCTCTCCATCTCAGTATTCCCCATCCTATCACTCATAACACACATACCTCATCCAGCCTCCTCCCTGCTCAGACTTGGGGAGGGTGGGGGTGGAAGAGCCCCTACGCCTTCTCCTAGTGGCGGGTCTACAGGGCTGGGAGAGGGCAGGGCGTGTGACATTGACACCGTCCGTAAGGGGGACAGTAATTCCTGCCCTGGGAACTCCTGGGTGGGGGGAGGGGGACACTTCCCTGGAGGCGCTACTGAATGTATGAGAAGCTGGTGCTGGGGGTGGGGGGAGGGGGGTTGTGGCCAGAAACAGGGAAGGAGGTAGTTCCCTTCCCCAGGGGTGGGGCCAGTAGGAGTGACTTGGGGGGCTCCTACTCCTGCCCCACATTGACAATCAGTATGTCTGTTATGTGCGATTTTTCACCCCGTTGTGTTTTGGGTCAGGATTTTAAAGAAAGATATTTTTATGGTAATTGTTGCTCGTCTATTTTACTATATATTTATGTAATAAATATATGATGAAAATAACCCCCTTGGGCACCCCCCCTTAGACTTGCGTGCTGTTTCCCTGTATCCTCCCATCTGCTGGCAGAGTACCCACCCCACAAACTGACCAGATGGAGAGGTGTGCCCCCAGCCTTGGCATTATTTCCACCCCACCCCACCCCCCAACGAGCACACACCACAGAAGCCAGCTCAGCTGTGAACTATTGGATTTGAGACAGGAATAGAACAAATTGGGGGGCTAGAGAATTAGAGGGGAGAGAGTGGTTTAAATAGGGGAGGATGGGAGGTTCAGTGATGGGGGAGGGAGGCAGGTATTTACAAGAAGGCTCAGGGGGGCCAGAGGCTCATCTTGGAATATTTTATAACAATATAAATAAGATTCTGGTTTGCTTTTCCTTTTCGTCTCGTAAAGGAGAGAGAAGTGCAGAGTTCGATTCTGTACAAGGGGGCAGCGGCAGAAGGCCGGCCGGGCGGGTCACTGGGCGTCCACCCGGAAGGACAGCAGCTTCTCGGAATGCATGTTGTTCAGGGTCCGCAGGTCCGGCAGCTTGAGCAGCAGCTTGGTGAAGCGGGAAGTCTCCAAGGGCCGGTTCTTCAGCACCAGAGCCCGAAGAGCCCGCAGCAGCGTCTCCTGGAGCTGCTCCACCGAAGCGGAATTCTCCATTCCCGAGCGGTCTGTGGAGAAGACGACAGCAGTGAGACAAGCTCCCTGAGCTCCTCTGACGAGGAACCGGAGGCCTGCCAGGAGGAACCCGAGGTGTGCCAGGAGGAACCCGAGGTGTGCCAGGAGGAGGTCTGCCAGGAGGACGTGGCGGGCAATGCAGCCTCTCCCTGAAGCCCCTCAGAGGGCCCAGGGGAAGGAGGAGGGAAGCATAACTCCTCCTCCCAGGCCTCTGCCCCAGAGCAGGAGGTACCTGAGAGCTGGGAGCATGGGCTCAGCAGGGCTGGGCACCTCCTATCTCACAAGGCCACTCTCCTTCCCTAAACAGGCCGAACATATCCAGGCCCCTTTGCTTTTTGCTCTATAGTTCCCTCCGCTTGAATGCCCTTGCCCTCCCTGCCCTCCACTCCCCCCCCCACCTCTGCCTGGCAATATCTTGTCCTTTGAGGCCCCACTCAAATGTCACCTCCTTCCCCAGCTCCCCAGGCAGAAATAGTTGTGTGTGCTCCCTAAGCCCTTGGTTCATGCTTCTACTGTGACACTTATTCACTGTTTTATAATTAGTCGGGCATGAGTCTGTCTCCTAAGCTAGACTGTGTTTGAATCATGTCTGTATCGCCAGTGCCCAGTGCAGGGCCTGGCATAGAGTAGGTACTCCATAAAAGGTGTGTTCAATTGAACTGCGTCCGCCTCCTCCCCCGGGTCAGGCTCAGGCGAAAGCTTGACCTACCTGCAGAGACAAGCACCACCGCGGTGAAGAGGCCCAGCTCCTCCTCAGTAAGTGCTAAGGAGTTGAGCTTCTCGCTGAAGTCAAACATGGCATTGAGCAGGTCTCCCATGCCCATGGCACTGAGCTCCTGCAGGCTGTAGGTGGTGCGACTCAGGAACATCACTGTCTGGTCCTTCACGTTGAACAGCGATGCAAAGCGCACCATCAGCACCTAAAGCAGGGACAGTCGTCCTGGGTGAGGTGGCAGGAGCACTTGCCAAATCACCCCTAAAATTTTCTGAAGGGTTTAACTAGATTTCTCAGTAAAGAGTAGGGATAGTTTCTGAGTGGGTAAAGGGAAGTGGGGGACCAGGTGGGAGGATGGGGAACATCCCACTAGCTTTGGAATCCAACAGGCCTAAATCGGAGTCACAACTTAGTCACTACCTATGACCTTGGGCAAGTCACTTTACCAAAATCAATTTGCTCAGGCCTAGAATGGGGGTAGCAATGTGCCCTAAAGTGTTATTTTAAGACACTGGGATGTGATTAGACTCCAGCTGAGAAGACATAAGTCCCAGCCATCCTGAGGAAGGAGAGGCATTCTGCCCCCTCCTCGTCGGTCATAGTCTATAAGGACAAAGGTACTGGGGTTCCAAAGCCTTTCAGAGCTGCTGTCTGGCCCAGTCACCAAGCCTTTCTGCTGGATGCTTCCCAAGGTCAAGAGCAGGGAGCACAAAGGGTCACTCACCTCAAAGGTGCCAGCCTTAAGCAGAGTGACCTGGTCATGCTGAGAAAGATCACGGAAGCCTGGGATGTGCTTAGCAAACTCCACCACCTCCCGCACAGCGGGTGTGAAACTCATGGAGAAATCCTCCCAGATCTCTTGCACGGTTCGCCCACTGCATCCATGCGGGTACATATTCATCGGACACGCCTGGAGGAGGAAGGGATTTGGGGAGGGGAGTATCAGCCAGGCTAGCTCAGATGAGCTCCCCCCGCAGGCATGGGCCCTAGATTCTGGGTGAGAGGCTGTGGCCCTGAAGGATGGGTCTTTCAGGTAAAGTAGCGATCAGTGTGCCAGGTAGAGATCAGGGATTCCTAGGCAGAGCCCTTGCTACAGGGCTAAGCATCCTCCCCTGGGAAGAGGATATCCTTGTGTTAGCCTCCAGGCACACCAGGCTGCCCTATGCTAAATCCATTCTAGGCCCCCTGCCCACCTTACCCCCGGTGCCCTCACCAGCAGAACGTTCTTGGAGTTGCCCTGCCACAGACTGTTGGCAGGTGCTTCGCCTTCTGGGGCTGGGTACACGTGGGTGGGGCATAGACGGTGCCCATTGCTATTGGGTTGGTGGCAGCTGTGGTGGGCAGGGCCAGGGGGCCAGGTGGGAGGGTAGGAGGAGGGAGCCTGGTGTAAACCGTTCAGGGCCTCGTTATGATGTTGGGCAGCCATGATGTTATTGTCATTGGGAACAGGCGGGCAGCCTTGACTTTCCCAGCAATGTGGGGTGGTGGCCGGAGGGCTGGCCGATGCATGGTTGTCATTGAAGTTGCCAGGTGAGGTGCCCAGCTTATCATGGGCATAGGTGAAGATCTCTCGGTGGGCCCGCGCCACCTGGGATATCACATCTTCCACTTTGGGCTCAGGACTTGGAGATCGGGGAGGTGTCAGCTGTTGTGGGAACTGGGAGAAGCCCACCAGGGGTGAGGGGGCTGGAGCTGGGGGTGGTGAGGGGCCCGTGGGGCCTGGGGTCGGGTGCTGAGCGGGCGAGGTCTCCATTGAGCACTGGCTGCTCAACTGGTTGTTGGCCAGGTTCATGGCGCTCTGCATCTCAGCCAGCATCCGCTGCTTCTCTCGTTTGGGGATGCGCCCAAAACGCACAGCTGTGACAGGATGAGAGCAGTGTCAGGAAGTTCTCATACACACTCACATCCTTCTCTTCCTTCCTCCTGAAAGGGCAAGACCCTAAGGGCTTGGGGTTCCACATCAAAACTAAAACCAGCAAGACCACACCTATGGAAGGGGTTTTCCCAGTAGGGATTTTGCGGGGGAGGTGACCAGAGGGACTAATGGGAAAGAACTGTTTACCCAAGAGGATGAAGTATGGGTATCCCCTATGCAAATGAGACTCATGGTATGAGGTATCTCAGTTTGGGACTTTTTAAAGGGAGGGATTAATTCAGAAACTTTGGATGGAAGGAAGGAATGTGGGGATGCTCAAGGGGCAACAGTGTTGCCTTACCATCTCGGGACATGCCCACGGAGAGACACTTCTTGAAGCGACACTGCTGGCAGCGGTTGCGATTGATGCGGACGATGGAGCAGTTCTCATTTTTCAGACACCTTTTGTACTGGATGTTCTGCTGGATGCTCCGACGGAAAAAGCCCTGGAAGGCAGGGGGAACTAGTGAGCATCTCCATCGAGGCCACACCTATGTGTTCTGGGGGAGCGGATCACCTGCCCCTGCCCTTACCCCCAACCTGGCTCACCTTACAGCCCTCACAGGCATGTACACCATAGTGGAAGCCTGAGGCAACGTCTCCACACACTTTACACAGTAGCACCATGCCATTGAGCTCTGCAGGAAGAGAGGGGCAGCAAGTGAGCAGGAGGGCTGTCTGAGTGGCAAGAGATGGAAGTTTTCTGGGCCGGAGATTCTGGGGGGGGAACTAAGGAGGAGCCCCAGTATCTAGGGGGCACTCAAATGATCAGACAGCTGATGCAACTCTAGGAGAAATTTCCAAGGCCAGGGTAGGCCCTGGGAATAACTGTTTCACATGGACACCAACTTCCAACCTAGGTCTGGCTGCCTTCCTTTCCCCCAGATCATCTGGAAATGTACTCACTGGTGATGTTGCTGGTGCTCTTGCTGGGGGACACTCGGCTGCTGTCTTCCAGGGCCACTTGTAGACCCCCTGGGGGGCTCCCATTATAAAAGGAGGAGGAAGAAGAGGAGGAGGAAGATGAAGGAGAACCACCATCACTCAAGCTGGGTGGAATACTCCCAAAGGAGCGAGCTGGGTCCTGGGTGAGGGAGCCAGTGGGTGATGGTGGGAAGTAGGTGGGGCAGCCTTGGGTCAGGGACTGGAAGCTTCCATTCGAGCTGTCACTGTAGAGGGACTCAGGGCTGGTGCGGCTCGGGGAAGAGCCACTGGAGCCAATGTAGGTGATGACGCCACCTGGCAGTAGAACACAAGGAAAGGGGATGTCAGCTGCCATATATGTATGGTCTTAGGGCACCACCCTGCTCATCACCCACTGTCTCCTCCACACACTGCTGGATACTCAGAAGTTAACCATGTGGAACCTCAGAAGAGCCACAATAAGTAACTCCCCAACACATACTTGATATGGCATAGCCACCAACAATCATGACCTTTCGCAGGGTACAATCTGCTTCTGCCTTGGGTGTGAGGTACCTCCCTATAGGCATGACCCCTGTGGGCATATCATGTATGTGCCCCCCTGCCCTGGATGCCTTCCTTGGGAATACTGACTTAGTTGTCAGAGCAGACCTAAGGATGAGATGAGCAGCTGAGACCCATTCATAAGGCCCAGTCTTCCAAAATAAACAGCTGCTGATTTTACTAGCAAGACCATTCCAGGGATGAGGCCATGGAGGGGCAGCTAGCCAACAGTGAGTGAGGAGAGTGTGGGAATGTGAGGAATAAAAGTCACATTCCCCGCAAACTGGAAGATGTATTCTACGAAAGTACTGAAGGTACCAAACCTGCCCAGTCTGGTTCCCCTGGCCTCCAAACGTGAGAGTCTGAGTGGACTCTCCCTCTGAGCCCAGGAAAGACTTAGCAGTACAAATTGCAGGAGGTGAATGTGAAGGACAAATTGTCCTGCCTAGGGCTTTGGAATTCCCCCTTCCAGATCTCAGCCCGGTGACAACGACCTTGGCTCTCTGGCCACTCCAGGACTTTGGCCCTCTGATTACATTGCTAACCAGGTGGCCATGTTCCCGTGGTATCAGCAGGAGAAAAAGGTGACCTGCCTGCCACACCTTTGCCAAGCACCTAGTTTGGCCTGCCGTAGGCGGGGTGAGAGAAGGGAGGATCCCAGGACACGTGTGAGCCAACACAGGCCGAACTACTGTGTCTCCAGAGGCACATGTCTTGCTCACCCACTGACACACACTAAGCTGGGCAGGGCAACCCTAAAATAGCTCAAGGTTGGTCAGGGTGAACCCAGCTCCCTGTAAAATAGTTGCACAACAGATCAGCTCCTACAGTTTCAAAGCTTACGAGGGGGGATGGGGTATTTATTTGGTGGTAAATGAACCTGACCTAGTTCACCCATCCCCCAAGAGAAGACTCATCAAAGAGGCTTCCTTCTAACCTGGAAGTGAGGGGCATGCTCAAACGAGTCTAGTTCTAGATCTATCACCACCAAATTGATTTGTAACCTAGAGAAAATCAAGTCCCTTCTCTGGGTCTCAGTTTTCCTATCCGTAAAAACAAACAAAAGGATGAGAGAGGCTAATATCCTTTCAGCTATTATTCTGGAATGTAGTTGTTTTGGGGAAGTCCTTAGGAAGCAAACTGCTGCTTGTTTGGTGGGGTGGGGAGTTAGATAATGTTTGCAGGACTAAAGAAAGAGATGCTTGGGGTACAGAAAGAACTAAATGTGGAGCTGAGTCTAACGGCAATACAGTGAATAGGTGCAAACAGAATAAAGAGAAAAGGAGTGAGAAGGGTGGCTAAAGGTGAGGTTCCTTTGAGAAGTGTAAACATGAGGCCAATCGAGGTCAGGGATGGCTCCATCTTATTCTGCTTTGGTGAAGGGGAGGAGGGGGGACCCGGGCAGGCGGACAGGAAAAGGAGGCAGGCGGGGGCGGTGAGTCAGCCCAACTTCACCCAGATCTCGGCAGGGCCGGGCGGGGCGGGGCGGGGCGGGAGCCCAGCCCTCAGCCGGCCTCACGTCCCAGCTCCACGTGTGCCTCTCGCACGTGGCTACCCAACGAGGAACCCCGGAACTGGAGGGCCCGCCCACTCCGCTTCCCGTCAATCCGGAGCAGCAGCCCCACCTCCATCCCGTCCCGCCCCTCCCCGGGTCCCGGTCCTGGGCTGGGCAGCAAACGCGAGATGGGCGGGGATTACTGAGGGGAGGAGAAAAGGGAACACGCGTTGCCTAGGCGACCAGGGGGCGGAGCTCATTATGTAACAGGGCTGGGAGGCAACGACCAATGAAGTGGCGGCCACGGCTTCTGCTGAATGAAAACAAACGCAGCACGTGGGCCCGGCTCCGCAGCCATGTGAGCCCTCTGGGCTACCCGGACACTGTGGGTGTCGTCCCTGGGGCCCAGCGCCACTCTCCTAGCTCCTCAAGTGCCGCTCCCTACTGTCACTGAGGATTTCCCAGTGAGACCTGACCTATTCCCCCAGCCCCTCCTGTCTTGGAGTCCCCATCACCCCACTGCTTCTCAGGTTCCTTCCAGCCTGCGGAAACTAGGAGAAGAGGAAGAGAGGAAGGAGGGGGCCTTCTTTCTGGGAAGGCCAGGCATGCCACAGCCGCAGGGGGCGGACAAATGGGGGTGTTTAGGAGCTGTGCTCCAAAGCTCCCACTCCCTCTAAACAATTCATCTCACCACACATACCCGCTCTCCATTTCCACCGGCACGGGATCCCAGTCCTTTAGTTTAAACAGAGCTTTAGGACTGAGGGGTGGTGGTAGAGCGTCTCTGGGCACAATCCCAGGTCAAAAAGGTCCCTCTCTTGAAATTCCAGCTTATAGTCCCCATTACGCTAGCAAATCCCCGAGCAGAGGGAGTCCCCAGTCCCTTACAAAGTTCCTCTTGTTATCAGACATAGATGGAAGTGAGCAGACAGTGACAAAGAAAGGATGATGATAGTAATCTCAGTACCTGTGTTGTTGTTGGAGTCCAGGGTCGTCATGTCTTCACCGGCTGAGAGAGGTCATTCAAACCGGACCTTGACACAAACTGGAGGTTGCAATTGCCGCTGTCTCCCCCTGGGCACTGGCTGAGGGTGGGGAGTGGAGGCACCCTGCAGCAAGGTCTTGGGGTGGCCGGACTGCAGCCCTGCAGAGGGGGAGGACGCTGAGGCAACGGAGGTCTGCTTTGCATGGGAAGAGCAGAGAGAGTGTGGGGGAAAGGGGCCGGAGGGAATTAGCCTGCAGTAGTTCTGGCTAGAAGGTAGGTAGCAAGGAGGGTCGGGTCTCCGCAGTGCACCCGGTGCCACTGCTCCAAGGCTCCGCAGCGCTGCAGGATAGCGAATCTGGAACTCCCGGTGCAAAAGTCCCAGAGAGAGAGGTTGCAGTCAGGAAGTAGATTATGGGGAGAAACGGGGCACCCAGGCGCAAAGAAGCGAGACGTGTGCCCTGCTACGTTCCCTCAGCAGCAATATTTCACTCTGCCAATCTCAGGCGCCTTTTGCCCCAGCCTTTTTTCCCTGGGACAGAGGGCTCTGCGCAGGCGCCAGCAACCCAGGGTTCCCGGCCGCACGCGGCACTGGAGCAGGTACCATGTGATCCCAGGGAGCGCCTCGTGCCCCAGTGACACACTTTTCCAGCAGCAGGCACGTTGAGCTCCGTGCGCCTGCGTAACGCTCAGGCTGCCGGGATTTGTAGTCCACTGGTAAAGTAGGCGGACGGCGTATATTTACCCCTTTCTGCCTTGCAAAAGCTCTTGCTGGGACGGGGGAGGAGCTGAGAGCGGGGTGGGTGGGGTGTGCTGAAGAGTCTGGGTGGCGTGTTTGGAAAGCCTGTATGGCAGAGGCATGTGAATTCTTGGGGAGGGACTGGCAAGCTTCGCTGCTCCCTGGGAGATCAAAGCTAATAGGCCTTTTCTGCAAACCTTGCAAACGTGAGGGCTTCACGTGATTGCAGAACTGACCTCCCCTTGAGGTTACTGGTGACACGGGGAGAAGGGAGATATCCCCGGAATCAGTAGCCTAAGCTGAACTTCTGCTGCAGGGCTAAGTCCTAAGACCAAAAGGAAATGTGTCTTCTACTTCTCTTAGGGAAAGCACCCCCAGGGAAAGGAATTGCTACGGGGGTGAGGATGTCCCTAGGGACTCCCCATCCCACCCATTTGAGGTGACTTTGGGATGAGTAATTTCCCTTTGTGGAATAAAAAGGACAAGGGAGGGAAACTTTATGGTGAAAGTGCTTTGAGGTCCTAAAGTAATGAGGCCAGAGGTAAGGCAGGGGCCTGGAAGCACAGTGACACCCCCACTCCCACCACCCCCAGTGCTTGATGGTAACTTGTGGATTCCACAGAAGGTAACTCAGAAGGGAACACCCAGGGTTAAGAGTATCTTACCCTTCCTCCTTTACTAATAAGGAAAGTGAGGCTCAGAAGTGACTGGCCCAAGATCAGACATCCATTGCTAGTTTCATCTCCCCACCCTAAAACATTGGGAGATAAGCAGATGTGCAAGTGCAACACTGAACGGGGGTTAGGAACAACCAGCATCTCCCTTCAAAGCAGCATTGTCCCATTGATAAAAACAAGTCTCACGTAGAGGTCTATCCTGTTTGAGGACTTGGGTTGTGGGGAGAGATTAAGAGCCCCTTGAAGCAGCGAAGTGAACCTGGGCCACCTGCTGCTTCCTGCTAATTCCTCCTCAGTCCCAGTGATTCTACGGAGATTTTTTCCCCCCTTCTCCACTTGTTCACAGGCAGCTCCTGGGGCAGCATTGATGGGTGCCTAGAAGCATGACAGCCGCCAAAGAGGTAGAGAAAAAGAGTGTGGGCACCAAGGAAGAAAATAGCTGGGCAGTAAGGAAGTGAGTAAGCTGAGAGGACTGTGAGGTTGCCTGAAGGAGTGGCAGCTGGGCCGCTGGCTTGACCACTGATCCCAGTAGACTTTGACTCCCAGTAGATGGGCTCCCTAGAATGGGCACCCTAGAATGGCTGGGGCTTTAGCTTTGTTCTGCAGCCCCCAAGGAAAGTGGGAGAGAGAAGGCAGTGGGCTCTTCCTTGTCCTGCCCTGGCCCTTTGGCCCAGGGCTAGGAAGCTCCAGCAGAGCGTGGGAGGGACTGGGAGGGGCTAGGACAAACAAGGAAAGAAGCTTTTCAGGAAAACTTGGTTCAGAACTCGGCCTCCACCTCCTCTCCCTCCTCCCCCTGGGCTCTGGAGGGAAAGCTGGGAGGTGAGCTGCCATGTCTGGCTCTGCATGCTCTCTGTGCCCACTTTCTGACTCTCCATCAGAGCCAGGGCCACAGCCCAAGGATCTAACAGGGCTGGACTCGAAGTTAGGGCCCTTGGCATGACCTCTAGCTCTCCACGAGCCCCAGCACCACCCCTGGCACACTCCCTTTAGTTGCCTTAGATCCTCCCTAAGGCCTATAGCTCTGTTTGCTGCTTTGGCGATCCGACCCACCCTCTGTTCTACTTGCTGGTGTTTATCCCTGTAGGGGGGGAGGTCCAGGGGTCAAGGCTCCCTCCCTGAGTTTGCAACAAGTGAGAGGGAGGAGGAAGCAGAGGCAGCTAGAGCTGAAATTCAGTCAGCCTAAACTTGGCAAGAAACTGGGTTGTTTTGCAATCCCTGTGAGGTATGAAGGTGGAGGCTGGGAAGGAGGAGGCAAAGGATGGGGATTACCTCTGCTCCCTCCTTCCTCTGCACTTGTTAGAGGGCTCTCCTTTTCTCCCTGACAAAGAAGTAACTTTGGGATCTTCCTTCTACAATTGGAGAGGCTACAGAATAATGAGAGGCAGGACTCTCCCTTGGCTCCAGAAGCTTCTAGTCTATCCACCCTGTTCCTCTCTCTGCGAACAGCTGCTGGAATAAGGAAAGAGACTATGGGACCCAGAGCCACCAAAGGGAGGGAGAAAAGGCTGGGTTGTCTGGCCTTTGGGGACCTGGGGTAGAACCTAGCTTTAGCCTCTCTTTGACCTCAACCTTGACCTTCAGACAACAGGTGCATCTCAACACAGCCTCCCATCTCTCCTGCCAGCTGGACATTCCACTTCACTTCTATACACACACACACACACACACACACACACACACACACACACACGCACATACCATTCCTCCCATAACCAAGTTCAGCCCAAGAAAGAACTGGACCCTTAATAAACAGTATTCAGATTGGAACTGTGTGGAATGGATACACATCCAAGACTTGGCACAGCAAGGCACAGCTCTGGCTCCATGTTGCACACACTTCTACTCAGATTCCTCAGAGTCTGGGATTCTGGGGACTGACCTTACCATTTAGGGGCAGGGTTGTATCCTGTGCCTGTGTGTGCATTTCCAAATATGTCTTTAATTCTCCTGTATTTCTTTGGACTGGGAAGGACAGCAGAGATAGAGTAAAAAAGGCAAGAGATTGAGAGCTCTTAAGCCCTGGCCAGAGAGTGTGTGTGTGATCGTATGATTGTGAGTGAGAGACCATATATGTGGGTGTGTAAGTGTGAATGGCGTGAGTGTGTGTGGATGTATGTGTTTGATCCAATTTCTATTCTTCTTGTCAGTAGGTTGTTCTAGGTAACAGGGCAACGCCCTGTGCAAATCCTGGGTGTCCTAAATCTTGGGGCAACACTGACTGACTGACTGAGGGTGGGTCCTTGCTGGAAACCAGGTCAAGCTTCAGTAGGTACCTTCCCTTCCCCCTCCTTTCTCACCAAGCAAACCATTGCCCCCGGGGAAAACCTGCCTGCCCAGGTGATGCAAACCTGGGACAACCTGGGACAGAAACCCTGGGGATGTCCTAGAATCAGGGAACCAGCCTTCCTAGACCCTTTGCTGGTTCTCTGAAAGGCCAGCTAGTTTGCCCTAACCCTCCCAGAACCTTGATGTCTTGGGAAGGGTCAAAGTCTGAGCTAATTTGTTATTTGGGGGAGAAGGAGACAGAGTGAGGCATGATTCAGAGCTGGGTTCCATAGAAATGTTTTGTCTCAAATTCTTTCTCTACCTCACTACTCCCTTTTCCTAGGAAAGGAAATAATTATGTATTAAGTGCCAACTGTATGTCAGATACTGTGCTAAGTGCATTACATACATTACCTCAGTTAATATCCACAACAACCCTATGCTGTCGGTCTCATTCTTATTTTAGAGATGGGGAATCAGAGACTTAGAGACTTTGATTACCTTGCCCTGAATGCTCCAGAGACTAGGCAATTTGTCTGGAAGTGTATTTGCATAACATTTTACTTAGGATTAAGAAGATGTGCCCTAGCCAGCTTTGCTCAGTGGTTAGAGCGTTGACCTGCGGACTGAAGGGTCCCAGGTTCAGTTTTCATGAAGGGCACATACCTCTGTTGCAGGCTCAATCCTTGGCCCTGGTCGGGGTGTGTGCGGGAGGCAACTAATCGATGTGTCCCTCTCACATGGATGTTTCTCTCTCTCTCTCTCTCCCTCCTCTTCCCTCCCTCCTTCCCACTCTCTCTGAAAAATAGTGGAAAAAATATCCTCAGGTGAGGATTTAAAAAAAAGAAAAAGATTAAGAAGATGTCACATCGCATGGCTGGGTAGCTCAGATGCTTAGAGTGTCATCCTGATACACCAAGGTTGTGGGTTCGATCTCTGGTCAGGGTACATACAAGAAGCAACCAATGAATGCACAACTAAATAGAACAACAAATTGACATTTCTGTCTCTCTCTCTCTCCCTCCCTGTCTAAAATCAATTTTTTAAAGGGTTATAAAAAAAGAGATGTCACATCAAAGGATGGCATAGATGATGAAGATTATTGGAGAGGCTAACACTTTCCCAGCTATCTCTTGGAACTATCACTATGAACGGCACAAAGAAAATGGCGAATGGGAATTCAACCCCAGGTCTGAGGATAAAACTCTTTCCACCAGCAAGACTGCCCTTCCTGAAGAGAATGATTACTTCCCATGGAATGTCTGAGCAGCAGGCTCATCCTGGTTTCCTAAGCAATGATGGTGCTTGGAAGTGAGGTGTGTCCCCAAGAAGAGAAGCCTGAAGCACTCCTTGCTCCTGCCCCCACAATACCTCAGCTTCCC